TCAGACGCACATGAGAGCTCTGATGAAATCAGAAAGGTACCCACATCCTTGATAATGGCTTCCTCAGCCGAGCTTGCCTATAGCGTACTGGCTAGACAGCACTGACTGATGCCTCAGACCTGCAAGTAACGTGCCTGCGTCGATGCAAGTACCTCCCGAGCACTACGCTATTGGCAATCTGATTCTCTTCCTTGCCGGTGGCATGAGCGCGGATATCACGGGCAAGCAAGTGAGGCTTGATGGAGCACAGCGTCTTTTGTAGCAACGATCGACTATGATAATGCATCTACAGCCTTTTTGGTCAAGTTGAGTGACCAGTCCATCAAACGATCGGCATCTCCTGAAACCCTCAACGCACGAAATCGAGGATCTTCCCGTCACCACACAGCGCAAGCCCTTCACGCCGGTACCGGGGTATACTCGAACTCGTAAATGCCAACATCACGATTGTCGTTGTTACTGAAGGCGTCCAGAGAGACGAAAGACGGATACAGTTGGTCGAGAGTGTTGATGTCTCTGAGGATCTCATCCGCGGCGTCGTACCAGTCCGGACGGTCGTACGTGCCGATAGTGACGGGTGCCAGTGTAGCAAGACGGAGCTTGATCTGCTTACCGTCGGCGTTGACGTAGATGCCCCTGGCGGTCACATCGCTGCCAGAGGCCCCGTGGACGGCATCTTCGAAGTTGGAGAGTAGCTCGGCAATCTCGTCTGAGGTGTAGTCGCTCGGCTCATATCTATTGTTGGGAGTAGTTGTGATTAGCTGAGGGCCACGATAGAAACGACCAGCAGAGTCCTGCTGAGATATGCTCCCTCTTTTTCCTGACTAGTCAGCGTCCAGACATCGCCAGACTCCACGTCAACGTCGAACGTGTCGCCAACGTTTCGAACTTCCTTCGCAATCGCTGCTGCTGCTACAGACCAGCCGATCATAGCTAGAGCAAAGGTTGATGGCTTCATGCTGGCGATGCGGGTACGGATAAGCCTTCAACGGCACTGACACGATGCGCGTGTCGGGACAACGAGATTTCAGGATGGCGAGTTATGAGAAACTTACTGGCAGAGGCAATACTTATAGCCAGACTATAGTGTCTTGCTGGTCAACAGGATCTCTTGTGTGGCTCGCGTTTCGACTTAGTACTGATATGTGGTCTGCGGTCTCTCGAGTAGAGCGCAAGCAATTGGTTGGCTCGTACTGTCGTCAACACAGGAATCGCGGATGCGCTTCGTCCGCAGTAACGTGATAACACTCTGTGCGCAACGACGGTCCTGACACAACGACAACCCGAATCAGAATCGGCAGACTGGCACACGTGCGCTAGTCCAATGAACACTCCGCATGTAGGGTTCAGCGTAGGGATTCGTATGGTGGCACGCAGACAAGAGAGGTAAGGCGAGCGCGCAAGTCCGATGAGACGAGTAGAGTCAGCGGTTTCCTCCAGAGTACGCAAGCAACGATTGTTTGTTGGTGCCATTTCTCAAAAATATAAGCGGTCGACTCCGTCGGTCCGAATGCTCAAGATGCCTGCCCCGTGCGGTCGAAAACCACAAGGTGGATGTAGGATCAAAGTGAAGATGTCGAATGCAATCCGGTCGCGTACAGCTTATTGGTAGCATCGACGCCTCCAAGTTCTACGCTGGTGCAGAGCTCGACTTTGTGCAGCTCGTAATGCGCTGACGTGTGTCAACGGCTCGAGGATGAAAGCTTGCTCGGGCTGCTTACAGTCGCATCCTCCTACAGCGTCAGCCTGCACTGCGATGGGGGTGAAAATGTCAGAGCTTGAAAGGGATTGCGGACTTCTTCATATCGGTGGGTAACCCAACCCTTTTCGGGAGCCTACCTTGACAAAGGTAAGTGCTAAGCAGACGCAAATATGGAACGACGATCGCGCAGACGATGGACACCAAAGAAAAGTCGGGCAAAAAGCATATGGACAATGTAAGACTTGAACTCACGACCTCTTCCATGCTAAGGAAGCGCGCTACCAGCTGCGCCAATTGCCCAGGCATGATGGGAGGGTCGGAAATTGCTGTACTTAAATCCTTATAGAAGCGAGCCCGGGCATGCAAAGCGCAACCCGACGTCCACTGTTCGACGTACGCCAAATTCGTCAGCTTGCCAGAAGAGCGTGCTGTACCAGTAATGAGATGAACAGAGCGATTGTTCCATGCTGTCACGGAGGAATTTCAGAGTGCGACACGAGAGGGATGGCCAGTAAATTGTGGGGGCTGGTTCACCCAGCAAATAGCGGGCTCGGGAGCAAATTTGCGCACCTTCCCTCGAACTTCAGCGCTCCCATTACCTGTCGCACTCTGCTTCCTAAGTAATTCACGTCAACACCAAAACATCACATTTTCCACCCATACAAAGCTGCACACGTCACGATACAACGCGATAACAGCAGCCATGGCACATGCGACGCCAGGCGAGAAGCGCCCGGTCTCTATCGACGTCGGCGAGTTCGTGCGTACGCGCGACGCGGTTAGTCGTCCCATGCAATGCGCCAGACGCGTCCCGAAGCTATGGATAGAGCTGTACTAACGATGCTCTGCAGCTTTCTACGGCGTACATGTCACTGTCCACCAGCATAGATCACGCCGTCAAAGCTTACATCGCGCACACCAATGTCGTGCTCGCCGGCGACGCCGCCCTAGACGTCTCCTATCTTACCCAACCTTTCAACACCATCACGTCCGCGCAGATCGCGCAGCTAGCCCTCAGTCATGGAACGAACGGCGCGATTGCGTTCCCAGCGGCGACGGCAGGTGCGGAAGACACAGACGGGAAGAAGAAAAAGAAGCGCGCCTACAAAGCTCGCGATCCTAACGCACCGAAGCGACCTCTCACAGCCTACTTCCGGTTTCTGCAGGAGCAGCGACCCGGTTTGACAATCGAGATGGCGAAGGCGCGGGACGGCGCTGCCAGTAAACCGGGCGATCTCAGCAAGGAGGCAACGGAGCGTTGGCACAAGATGGCCAAGGAAGACCAGGAGCCTTACAAAGAGGCCTACAGAGACGCTCTGAAGGATTACGAGAAGGAGGTCGAAGCTTACAAGGCGAGCACTGGACTGCCGGTCGAAGATGCAGCATCGCCCGTGGATGAAGAGACCTTGATGCCTGGGATCACAGCCGCTGCTGCAGAGGCTGAGGATGAAGAGACCAGCAGTGACGACTCTTCTTCGGACGATGATGATGAGGAGGAAGAGGATGCGAAACCAGTCATGCCACCTCCACCTCCACCCAAGGCTGTGAGTCCGGTGAAGAAGACCCCCAAGTCGGCACTGAAGAAGACCGAGAAGGCTGCTCCTGTTGCGGCATCGCCTGCACCGCAGACGCCGAGGTTCAGCAGTATCAATCCCGGTGGTGCGCCACAGAGCGTGGCGAAGAGCTCGAGTCCTGAGATCGAGCGTAAGCGCAAGGCGACTTCGGACGCTGTCGCGGATGGTGAAGACGGCACGAAGAAGAAGCGAGGCCGGAAGACGAACGCTGCGAAAGCTGAGGAGGCGGCGGCTGCGGCGGCGGCTGCGGCGGCGGCTGCTGCTGCTCCACCTGCTGCTGTACTGCCTAGCAGCGATGGCAGTGGTGATCTGAAGAAGGAGAAGAAGAAGAAGCGGAAGTCGGTCGTGGCTGGGTCAGATGCGTAAGCCAGCGTTGTCACCATGATGATTATCCAGGTCGAGTGCTACATGCAGAGAGCGGTGTCGTGGGTGTTTCTGTTCCGTCACGGCGTGCAGGATGTTACAGATACCTCTGGCGTTGGATGCACATATTGCCCGGACTGGCGGCTGTTCATTAAGTGCATGTAGGTCAGCTCCGATAAGGAATTTCAAGTCCTGCTCACGTTCATGCAGGAGCTCTGCGAGCTCCACACCCCACTTCCCTTTCCCCATTCCCACATGGCTTCCAATGCTTAAATCCCATGTTTCCTTTCACGTAATATTTTCCATGCTA